GCAGGAATTGCAGTGCCAGCAAGGCTGTATTTTAAAAGGGGCTGTTTTTGGAGTACCTGTATGTTTCTTAAAGGAATTTGCTGACTTTTTCCCATTTCAAATCATTTGTTTCTTTCCTAGTACCCAGTGATGAGGGGTCAGGATCTTTCAGCTGCCACTGGTTACACTACTCAGAGATCATCCATTCTACCTCTCTACGAAGTAAGTGACCCTGTTCACATAGTGGTACTTAGTCAAAATGAAATACACAGAAATATCCTAAATGTCCCACAGATTGTGCTAACTTTGGGCAGTTCCCTATCTTTGCTCTTAAGAGATAACTAATGATTCCATCCGGCAAATAATGCTAAATGGAATTAATCTAAGTACATGGAAATCCTTTGATGTGTTTGTTTGTACGATACATTTAAAAATGTTGATTTCTTGAGTTGTTGCGAGTTCACAAGATGCAGCCTCTGTAGTCTGCTGAAGTTGCTGAGATTCTGCTTGACTCAAAGGGCACATCTGGGCAAATGTAGTTATGGGATTCAGACTTATTTTAATTTGATTTTTTCATGTAATATTGTGGGTTTTTTCTTTGTCTCAGAATACTTTCCAGGAGCTACAAGTGGTAAGGCGAAATCTAAACTTATTCAGAACCCAGATGATGGATTTGGAGTTAACTATGTTACGTCAACAGACAACAGTTTATCAGCACATGACAGAAGAAGAAAGGTAAAAGGATCTGGTTTTAAAAGCAAAAAACCAGAAAAAATATTCTGGTACTTCAGGAAATGTGTCTCTTTCCCCTAGAATCTATTAATTTTGATTTGAACAGGGTTAGAACTGATTTTTTGCCAATAAATTTGTTCACTCTCTTCTTTATACTTATTCATTCTATATTTTTCCCTCTTTGTTTCTTTTAATTGTTTTTTTTTCTTCATGCTTTCTCCAAAGTGTTTTTACAATTACAGATTTTAAGGGCACTTATCATAGGATGGTTAAACATTGGTTGGGGAAAAGCCTTTAGGATTTTTGCCTTAATTTTTCTTTTCCCCCCCATCTTTGTAGATATAGATAAAGAATGAACATTGTAGTATTCAGCTGCTTTTCTGACTTACAGTGGCCACTCAGCAGGCTGCAGATGGCATTCATATTCTGGCTCTGTATGTTCATGCTCGCTATAAGTCACAGGAGCAGCTAATCTTGAACAATTTTCAAAACTACTTACCTATTTACTTTACTTGAATCATCTCTTGACTAGTCACTTTAGAAGTAAACATGTTTGAAATCAGTTGACCTTCTTAGACAATGATGTCCTGGCCCAATGCGACTGCTTGGAAATCTGGACACAAGCAGGAGAAGTAATACGTGATCACTGCCTTGGTCTGTGATTTTTGTTGTCACTGGTTTTAAATCGGATTTGATTAGTTATATGTATAAGTACCGATTTGTTCTGCTTGTATACATTTAAGCACTTAAAGCTGAAATTTTTTGACAATGTTCTGTGATATGCTATATTGTTTAGTTTTCTCTGTGAAGCAAGATACATTTTCTATAAATGGAGAAAGACTTCTGTTCCATCTAGGCATTCAGCTCACTTTTCAGGAAAGAGGAATTTTCTGTGTTCCACTTTGAAGTCCCTTGTGTGAAGTCCTTTGCTCATGAGACTCTCCTGCTCAGTTCCCGCGTTGTGCTGTGCAGCTGAGTGCAGTAAATGCCCTTGTTCTTTTTGTGATGGGCTTGGTATAGATATGAAGCTGATCAGCTACAGAGCTTGAGAAAGTCTGTCCGCATGGAGCTACAGGAGTTAGAGATGCAGTTAGAAGAACGTCTACTTGCTTTGGAAGACCAGCTGAGAAGTCTGCACATGTCTTCACCTTACAGACCTCAGACACACATAGTGAGTATTTTGCAACAACGTTATGTTTTCTCAGTGTAATGTTGAAAACGCATAACTATTAAAACTCCTGCAGTGGGCTGATAACTGGGGAATGTAATGATGCTCTGTGCATTATCAAGAGTCCTATTTTATTATTTTCGGTCAGTGTTTAATCTTGGGGGAAAGGTATGTGAACAGAAGGACTTTCTTGGTGTTAATATATATTAATACATATCTTCTGGGATTTTAGGTCTGAGAATTCAGACCTCTTCCATCAGTGACGACTTCTTTTTCCTTGTTGTGACCCTGAATTCTCACAATTTTGATAGGTAGTGCTCATGCCTGAAATCTTTGGGGGATGGTAACAGTCTTTTACAAGATTCCCCACACTGATTTTCTCACTTGTGAAATGAGGACAGAGAGACAAGAAATGCACAGTGTTTCTCTCCCCATAAATGAGGTGTGCTTCTCCTCTAGCTCTGCCAATCAATGGCACAAAGAAACAGGAAAATCCAGTTGTCATCTTCCTTTATTTTCCTCCATTGTCTTTTGAAGCTCCTTCAGATGACTGTGCAGCTCCCCGCCAAACAGTGGGTGAAGCTCTGCCCCCGCAGGCACTGCCCAGAAGCACAAGAGGGAGGATAAAAAGACACTTGCATATGTTTATTGGGTGGCATGGCAATATATTTTCTCTTCTGTTTCACTCAGCGGAAGGCTATTGCTCTCTTTTTTTGCTGCAATTCTGTCATCAGCCAAACAAAAGAAGTACAGAAGCAAGTGTATCATATGTACTTCCTGGGTTTCATTCCTCTTTCTTAGCCAATTCTCTCCTGTAGAAGCAGCACAGGCCACATCTTCATCTTTAGTATTTTGTCATGGGAAAAAAATTGAAACCCAAGAACAGGAAAATATGATATTACTATGATCCCAAGCCAAACTTGCATTCTTTGAACCATATAAATATCTCTGTATTTGTAAAACCTTTTATAGGAGAGGACTAGCTTTAAAAATGACTGAAATAAACTTTCTCCAACCAGCTTTGCTTCCTGTTTCCCGGTTTCTGCTTTTCAGAAAGTTGTCTGAGACACGGCATGTTTATATAAGCTTCTGACAGCTCTAAAGAAATCCTCAGTGCATTAACTTGACTTAATTTTTCAGGGTATGTATGGAAGCAGAAGTGCTGATAATCTATCATGCCCTTCTCCACTGAATGTCATTGAACCAGTAAGTAATTGTTACATGCTGTATGCTCTACTGAGAAAAAGAACCAGGGAGGGATTTCTTCATAAAGGTTGCAGGAGTCTCATTTGACACATAACCTCGGAAATGCTTTACTCGCTTGAGTACATCTGTTGAGAACAGCTGCATCTTCCCTTAAGCAAAGTTAACGATAGCTGCAAGTAGCTGTGAAGTCTTGTTTGTTTTTAAGAGGAATATTTAGAAGTGAGATGTTGTTTGCATTTGGTTGATAAAATGGCTACACAGCGAGTTTTCTGGGGAAAGTTGTTTCTTATTTTTCTATGCACTTAATGCTACTGAAAACAAATAGTTCAAAGACTGCAGAAAGGAAAGAACAAACTTGAATTGTTTTAACAAAGAAAAACAAAATCAAGCCTTTACGTGTGTGTCTGTCAATTGCTCTGGCAGTCTGCATTTCTATTGCACAAGTCAGTGGCTTGGGGAAATGCCACAATTCATATTTATGTTGGCTTTCAAAAAAGCCCTTTCCTTTTTATGATCCTCTTTGTTACAGTCATAAAGGCAAAGCATATATTTATTTTATAGCTGTATTTGTTACATGGAGGGAATGAGTAAGTGATTGAATAAATAACAAGAAAGCACAGTTATGTCTCTCTGTGACTTTTTTATATGTTTATTCAGGACTGTTTCTTTTCTGAATCCTTAGGTCTCTGAACTCATTCGAGAGCAGTCATTTCTGAAGTCTGAACTAGGTTTAGGACTGGGAGATCTTGGACTGGAAGCTCTTCCAGCAGAGGGTACAGAGTCTATCTTTTCCCATGGAAACTCTGATTCCTCTTCAGTGTGCTCTGGTCACGCAGGTAGAAAACCTGCTGTTGCATCCTCTGAACTAACAGGAAAGTCTAAGAGTCACAGCAAGAAGTTATACCGAGCCTCCGTTGCCTTAACGCCAGCTCCCCCGGTGAGAGTAGGTGCTGGACAGCAGGTGGAAAGCTCCGAGGAGCTTGCAGACTCCAAGCCAGAGGTGGAGCACAAACTTGAAAAAGTTCCTGTCATGCCTTCGGTTGATGAAATCCACAAAGCTGTGGAGCAAGAGGAGCTGCAGCAAGTCATACGGGAGGTGAGGAGGGAGGGGCTGAGATCTAGAACGTTTGAACAGTGTTTACTGAAACCTGAAGAACAGACTGTGTAACTCTTAGCCACAGAGGTTTTCTCTTCCCTATCAAGCCAAGGCTCCATACTGTTACCACATTATTTCTGAAGGCTCAGATCTTGCCATTAGCTATTCAAACTACAGTTGTATTCTTGTGCAAAGCAGCAGACATTTTTTTCTGTGGCAGTGGTTAGCACATAAATGAATAGCTAGTTGCTACTATAAGTCTGGGTGAGAAGGAATTTGCCATCTCTACCACTTGGTTAAGCAGCAGTATTGCAGGTACCCAAGTGAAAATTTCCCTGTCATGTTTACTTGCTAAAATGACAGGCTGGAGTTAATTTGATTGATGAAATACTGTTTCTGAAACAGCTCCCTAGTAAATGTTAAAAGTACTTTCCCAGTACCTCTACTCCAAACCACTAAGGACTGTAGGAGTGTAAGTGAAGCAAGCTGAAGTCAGATGAGAAGTTATTTCAGACTTTAAGGCTGATGTTGGACCAATGCTGTTGGCCTAGGTTTATTGGCAGTCAATGAAAGTGAAGGATGCTTGGTTATTTTTCCTGTGAGCCAGGTTAAAAAAACAGGGCTAAAACTACATGTTTTGTTTGTCAGTGGTATGGCAGAAAGCCTTATGGCAAGTGGTATAAATGGGAATAGGAAGCAAAAGAAACTTCTTGTTCTCAAAGGCAGTGCCCATGAAAAAGTGGAGTGAGTGTCTGTCTTGGCAAAGTGGAGACGTTTTCTGGGCTGACTCACTGTGGGCTTTGCTGTGTGTAGGCACTTTACACTTGGACAGTGGGACTGTGAAGCAATAGAACTTTACTAAGGAGTGCTCTTAGATATGATGATGGCCGGAAGCATGTGAAGATATTTACTTTATTTACCTTTGAGTAACTCCATAAATAAAGTGCGAAGAGTAACGCAGAACCACAAGCATTAACTATCAGTGAACTGGTGTTAAAAGAGGGTGAAGTTTGTCAGTGAGGTGAAATAGAGACCAACTTTCACTAAGTAGCCTCACGATGCTGAATAACAACTTGCTCCATCAGTAGTGCCAGCAGAGTCAGTGGGCTGAGTTACAGAAAGTGGCATTTTCCTGTGAAAGGAAAGGTACCCCAGTCAGTTCGTGATGAGGCATCACCAGACTGACGACCTCATCATTACTGGGCTCAGCATTAGGGCTGAACACCTTCTGACCACCGCTTATCTTTATAGTGGAGCGCGTGGTGCTACATCATTACATCTCTACTTTGAAAGCAAAGAAATTAATGAGGCAGAGGTCAAGCGTTTAATTTTTGTATGTCTTCCCCCCTCCACCACTCTCCTGCTGCCATCTTCTCTAAAGGAGCTAAAGTTGGAAAAAGTCCTGGGAAAGTCCTTGTTCTGGAGGTGTCATAAAATACTCCTGGGTATCCCAAATTCTTTCTGGTCCATTTTTTTATTTTCGTACCTTTTTAAAGAGGTTCCTTTCCTAATTTTCAGAGAATAAGCAAAGCCTTGCACTTTGCTGCCTGTTCTGCCAGGATATGGCATTTGTATCTAGCCCTTCTGTAAAACGTCTGTGGCAGTGGAGTGGTGTCATGGAGGGTTGCTAAAGCAGAAACTGAGGGAGGGAGGAGCTGTAATTCAATTGTACTGTAAAAGCAGCAGAGACAATGAAGGGAGCTGGAGTTCAAAGTACAGAGTTATTTCAGTCAATATTTTCTCTGAGGTTAGCCTATGTGAAAGTTCTTCTTAACTTCATTAATTGATAGCAAATAAAGATGTGTACTCTTTGCACAGAGATTGTTCTTTGGATTGTGTGGCACTGAAGACGCTGTAGTGCTGCAAGAATCTGCACTGAACTAAGAGGCTACTATTCGAAGATGAGTAGTCAGCAAATAACTGAGCTTGACTCACTTAGTAAATATTTGAGCACACAGAGAGATTGTCCCTCAATTTAACTTCATTGGCAGCCAATTTTGGATCAGCTCAGACACTCAGCATTAAAAGTTTTGCAGGTCAGAGTGAAGATGCATTGGCTCAAAGTACCTGATAGTTTTTGCAAAGCCAGAATATGCTGTGAAATACTGGTCAGGAAAATATGTTGTGTTTTGAAAGAGCTAGAACAGCAAAAATTGAAATGCGTCTTCCTCAAGAAGCCCTGTTGTTAGCAAAGGAATTCCAGATTCATTGTCAAAAGAAAGAAATCTGGTAGCATGCATTCTTGATGTATGCACTCACAAATGTTAAGCACTTGCTTATTCCTCCCATTCTCTGTAGCTGTGTGACCTCGTGTTGGGGAAGGAAAAGCCAGGCAGTGTTTCAGAGTGTGCCTGGGTGGGTTGTAATGCATGTGAGCTTTGACCTAGAACTATTTGCTGGCATTAAAAAACCCTGTGGTGGTAACTTTTAGCATTAATGGGCTAACTCCCACGGAAAAGCATTCAACAACGTGCGATGTTAAAACACCAAACAGTGGCCCTCTTGTTTTGGTGAAAATACAGCCTGACCTCCACTGAGGATCACGTGAAGCACTTACTGCTTGACTTGCAGGTCACAATGCCACCAGACCCTCACACTCTGCTCTTCTGCAGCTTAAAAGATGTGAGAGTTTAAAAAGCGTTCTGCTTAAGAGCTGTGCAGGTTTGAGTTTTGCTAACAGTTCCCCATTGTAAATGACATTTAATGAAGTTATGCTTTAAAGAAACGTATGACGACATCTATTTTAAGAGGCTGTAATGGGTCTTTATAGGACAAAGATGATCTCATAGAAAATCTTCCCTTTTCTGCTTTCCATTCAAATCTGTGTTATCTCAGCATCAATCAAAAATGTCTTTTGGTTGTTCATATTTCCCTTATGCAGGTGTCAAGTTCCTTGCCTTACTATCTTGAGCATAAAAACTCACCGTCTCTGAGTGAAGAAAGCAGAGTAGACTCAGATCAGGTGTATGAGGACTGGGAAGAGCCTCGTGCCCATTTTTCCATCAGTAGGTGAAGAACATCTGTCTCCAGAATTGCCTCTGTGGCATATTTCACTCTCACTTCGTTCATTATTCATTATATAGCAGCAACATAATATTACCATAATGGTAATTCTTTCATAGGAGGAAAGATCACTAGTTTACTGTTGTACAGCTGTCTGTGGTGTGGCATACTGCGTTATTAATGCAATACTGGCTGCTAGTGTTGTATCAGCATAGTATACGTACCACCAATGAACGGATTCTCTCATCTTTCAAATGATCAATATTTCATTCAGCTGCTAAAAATACTGGTGGAACGTTCATTGACTGCTTTCTGTCTTTTATATGGAGGAGGCCTTGGCAGCGGGATGTGCCCTCTGCAGAGCAAACGAAGGTGCGCCTTGCAGTATATCATTTGTAGTGGAAAAGGCAAATATTGGCCATTGTCATGACACACACGGGATTGAGTCACTGCAGGAATAGATGCTGCATTCACCGTGCAGGAATGACCTTGATGAGTCTCGAAAGGAAGGAGGAGGCAGTGGCAGTGGAAAGAAGCAGTGGGAGGGTGGCCTTGTCAGTCATCTGGGCAGGAAGGTGAGAAGCAGAGGGCTCAGGTGGTCCACCAAGGTCAAGCCAGAAGTGCTGGAAATGCTGAGAATAGAGCAGGAGCCACTTTCCTCCCGATCTCTGCCTTGCCACAAGACTGTCCATTGTACTAGACCATTTACTTGCGAATTTGGGAAGCTTTTATCAGTTTTCTTTGGAAAGTGACGTTTATTTTTGTCTATCCATCGAGAGAAGGGCACAGAATGACTGTTTTGTAGTGTACTCACAGACACACCCCACGTGTTACAGGAACAGGAAAGCGGGGAGAACAGCATGGAGCTCTTTTAGGACAGTGGCCTGCCTGACAGCTGGGGTGCTGCATGGCAGGCTTCCCTCTGCCTGCATTTCTAAATCCCAAAGCCCTTACTGCATTCACAGTGGGCTTGAAGCTCTGTAAGTCTGTGGTCATCCTTGGGACTCGTGGCCATTGGTAAACTGGATCACAGCTTTTCCTCTGTCAGTTAATCAGCAAACAACCCAACTGGAAACCAGTTTCCCAGTAATATTGTAGTCTCAGAATTTCTGCTTGATGCGAAGTAGTAATGAAATGAGGACCTTTACCACTAATGGTTTAGGGATTGAGTTGCTTGCCAATGAGAAAAAGAGATAAATAGCATGTTGCTAATGCAGCTGCCACCCTTCTGACGCTGTTGCTTAATCCTTTTGACGCACCAGGGAAAGGGGAGAGTTGCAAGAATAATTGCAAGATGATGAGAGGGCTACGCAAACATGGCAGGGCCAGTGGGAAGGCTGAGTTTGAGTAAATATTATTCCCGTGGTGTTGGTGGGGCATCAGAACATGAAGGGATTTGTTGCTGGCAAAACTGGGATTAGAAATTTGGGCTTTTTTTCTGGCATGGAGTCTCATGTTCATTACAGCTACTCAGGCACTTGAAAGCTACTTTGAAATGACACTCTGAACAGTATTTTCTTTAGTCTGAGATTTGTGCCAGAAAATTATTTGCCCTTTTCATAAGAGAAAGAAAACTATATCGCTTAAGTGGGCTGATGAGTGCTTCTGTGAGTGACCTAGCAGCTGGGCTCTGGCATTTACCCCGCTGTGCTTTCTCACCAACATCATTCTCTTCCCTGGTTCTTGCAACCACATCTGGGCTGTTAGTTCTTCCTGAAGACGATCCAAAAAAAGGTTGGTTCCCTTCTCATACTTGTGAGCAGCCCATATTCATAGAATTGCAGAATAGTTTGAGTTGGAAGGGGCCCTGAAGATCATCTGTTTCCAACCCTCTGCCATGGGCAGGGACACCTCCCACTACACCAGGTTGTTCAAAGCCCCATCCAACCTGGCCTTGGACACTTCCAGGGAGAGGATATCCACACCTTCTCTGGGAAACCTGTTCCTGTGTCTCACCACTCTCACAGGAAAGAACTTCTTCCTAACGTCTAACCTAAATCAACCCTGCTGTAGTTTAGAACTGATGCCCCTTGTCCTGTTGCCTGTTGCTCTTGTAAAAAGTCCTTTGCTGACTTTCCCGTAGACCCCTTCAGGTACTGCAAGGCTGCTATAAGGTCTCCCCAGAGCCTTCTCTTCTCCAGCTGGTCCTCATAGGAGAGGTGTTCCAGCCTGCTGATCATCTTTGTTATTTTTCTTTGATGTATTTTCTTTAATATCTTTGACACTATTTTTCTCTGTCATGCCTTGCGCCTTTCTGGCATAACATGATCTTGTAGAACTGTGTTTGGCCTCCTTTCCTCCTTTGTTGCCTTTACTGTAGCCATTAGTGCTCTGCTCTTCCTTTGTTCCAGCCTCGGCTACACTTCGGTGCCTGCTCATAGTAACTCTTGGGTTTTGTGTAAAATTTAATGGGTAAAAGCTTTAACACAATCCTGTGAAAAGTAGTCTTTGCTGGCATAGGTCATATCCTAGTGGCCAACTGTGATGTGAGCAACTGCTCAAGTTCTCTTTGTTGTTGAAACTCTGTAGTTAGAATTCATCTGCTTTGCATTTATATAACATCAGCAGCTCATGTTGATGGACTTGGACCTATCCAACTACATAATCAATTTTTGAGGCAGATTGGTCCTGCCTTCCTTTGCAAGAGATAACAACTAATGTCAAAAGCTAGTGCATTTGGTGTGCTTTTTGATGTATATATCCTGAAATGCTATTTTCAGAACTTTACATAGTTGAAATATTTTTCTTCTTAACATAAACAAAACATAACAAAATGTTTTCCTCATAAAAACATAAACCTAAGTGTAAAACATAAGTGCGTTTAACATCTGTAAAAATAAATCTAGTTTGGTTTGCATTTATATGATTTGCAAGGACTTTAAAATTAGTTACAGTTATATTTCCAAGAGAAACTCTCTTACAGTTTTCCATTTGCATTTTTCAAAAGTTGACTTTTGATGGTGTACATTTCCATATGTTGATACTGTCAAACATATCTGCAATATCATTTAGTTTTATTCACTGGTTAAATGTATAACTTACCGACCTTAAAACTTTGGCTAATCCCTTTCAGATCAAGGAATCTATTGTTGGTGAAATAAGACGAGAAATTGTAAGTGGGTTGTTAGCAGCTGTATCACCCCAAAGCAGATCTGCAACTGCAAAACAAGATACACAGCCATGAAACTGGTACTACAGGTAATGTTTGGGAATCTGCCAGAACCAGATTTTATTTTATTTTTATCATATGAAATGCCATTGTCAGTTTAAACCTTGCTATGCTTGCATTTTCTCCTTGAAACATAAGTGATCAAAATTGAAGTTCATTAAATACAGAGAATACTGATAGTGCTGGAAGCTGGTTTATAGTTTGGAACATTCTGTAGTGGTCCTTCATTTTTGGTTTCAGTGTGATTTTTGGTTTCAGAGTGCTCTGCGATGACTTTGCGTGTGAATGCACCGTGTGAGCGGATTTCTGCAGTTTGCCTGCCTTAGATATACTTAAGTATGTACTTTGATAATATTCATAACAAACACATTTCTGAAAATCTAATTTAGATATTTGTCTTGCTTTTTCTTTCCTATAAGGTTGGATGTAGTCCAAAGTGCTGTGGGATTCTGCTTTGGGCAGCGTATGCTGGTGGAAGTGTCAAGTTCTTTTTGCTTCAGGAGATGTTAAAGCTGCTGAGATAGGCTACTGTATTCAACACTTGGTTCTCTGATGTGTACCTTCCCTTGGGTTCATCTATAAAGACTTAGACACTTTAACTAGTTCATTACTTTTCTTAAAGCATCAACAAAATTGTGGCTTTCTGAAAGGTTTTGTATTTATTTGTATGTCCCTGTTGTAAATTTTTATGTAGCTAATTCCTTTGTCTAATGATGCATCATGAAACTTGAAGATTTCCAGATGTAACCAATTTATAAATAACACACATGCATTCAGCCTAGCTTTTTTGTTAAAGAAAAACCACAACAAAAACCCCCCAAAAACACTGACCTCTATGAGGTATTTATTGTGCAATAACTGATCCACTTTAAGAGCTTGAAACAACCAGTAATGGTTTCCACTGCTGTTACTTAGTGCCACTTCAAAAGAAGGAAACAATCCTCTTGTAAAAATTGCTGTTAATTTTTGGGGTGGTTACTATTAGCAGAGTGGTAGAATGGCATGAGGTTACTTAAAACTACTTAAAGTTCTGACACTGAAAGCCTTATCTTTGTGTAGAAGACAACTTTTAATTAATTTTCTTTGCTGTTTGCGCATCCCTCTATACAGAAGTGCCTTATTTTAAACAGTTTTCTGTCATTGTGTTGACTGCCCTCAGTCATACCAAGAGAAGTGCTCTTCTGCTTCATATTAACCAAAATGCAATAAAAGAACTGATCTTCTGAAAGCAATTAGCATGTGCAACTTGGAATGGAGGAATGACCTTGCTTGTATTATGGGAAAAATGGAAAAATCTCTTTTCCTTCTCCGTACCTCACTGAATGTATTTTTACTTAGTCTGGTGAACCACCGTTTGTTCCAACAGAGCAAATTGGAAGTCATTGGAGGTTTTATGTGGTCAAATAGACATTCAGTGGATATGTAATATCCCATTTTGCTGTGCTTGGAATCTCTTTACTCCTTTGCCATTCCCATCTACTAAAATTCTTTACACTATGTCAAGGTCTTTAATCAAGAGTAGTTTCAAATATAACAGTTATATGAAAAAGTTTATAAGATTTTAAATTGTGTTAGGAGGACACACAAGGGCTGATTTCTTAAAAAAAGGTGTATATTAAACCAATAAAATATTTATTTTGCATATAATCTGTGTCAGTGTTTTTCATTGTGCGTGGCTCTCTCAAGCAAAATAGGTAACACAGATTTGATCAACAGAACACAGAATGGAGAAGAGCAGGAAAGCTCAGGACTTGGGTTACCAACAGCTTTCAGATGTTTAGGGGACCCTATACGCTTAGGAAATGTGAGATATATATTTCAGAGAACTGTTGGCACTTAAAGTCTTAAAAATTGTTGGCTCCTGTTGCAGCTCCAAGAATTTGTTTGGTCTTGACCTCTCCTCAGCATCTGTCCCTGTGAGTAGAGCTAGACCTTTCTTGAAAACCTCATCCTACGTGTTTAAAAGTTGAAATACAAACTCTGGTAGTCCTTATACATGGCAATCTATCTGAGGTGGTGAGCTGCAGCAGGTTTCTGCCTGCCTTTGCAGCTCGGATGAGTTCCATTCCAGCATGCCACCAGAGAGCAACCAGCCAGACCTTCCTTCGGGAATGCGCAGACCCCAAACCTACTCAGGTAATTGCAGCAGCAGATGTTCCCCCAGATGAGTTAGCACCTAAACTGTTGACGTAGGTCTGTGCCTGTGTGCTACTCAGAGCGGTGTTCCCAGAAAGGGAGCAACGGTGGCTCTCACAGAGTGATGGAGGAAAGCTCTTCAGCAGCCAGTGGCCCTGGAGCAGCGGCTGCCAGCAGCAGCAGCATCATCCTCCATGGGTGCTGCAGCCTGGATCCTCGCCGCTCGACGAGGAAAGGAGTCACTTGAAGGTAACGTCCCGGAGTGTCTGAGGCACTTCAGCTTCTAAGAATATTTGGTCTCAGCAACGCAGAGGCTACTGTTTTATGTATCCTGAGAAATGAAAAATAGCGCCCATTTTTTCATCCAGCTGGTGGAAGGCAAATTTGTGAGGTTCTGGCGTAATTTGAAATAAAGACATTTCAGAATGACATCTCTAAAAACTGTGCTGAAACTAATGAATATACAGGCACTTGTTTTTTCTGTAATCCTGGTAACAGATTTTTGCCGTTATTGATGACACTTCCAGCTAATATTTTGAGGAACATTTCTGCTTGTGCCTTAGGAACAACCATCATACTGGACACAAATCTAACCTGGGTGTCTTGCTCATTAGTAATGCCAATGCAGCTCTAATAATTTTCTGAGTGTGTATGGTTTTTCTTTTGTTTAATGATTGAAACTGCTACTTTCCTAACAAATTAGTGGTTTTTTCTTTTTTTTTTCTGCTAGCCTGCAATTTTATATTAATTCTGTACAGATTAAAGCAGCTGTATTAGTGACAGATAAATATTGGTCAATCAAATGTATGGTGAAGAGAGGTGGCAGTAATGCCAGAGATATTTTTGGCTGATTTTCTAAACTTCACTGTGATAGTGGTCTTTGTGGCTGCCAGTTGGCTGGAGGAATATAAAGCTGTATTTTGGAAACCCTGAGAGCTAACTGTTTTCTGTGGGTACAGGTACATCCCTGTTGGTAGTAAAATAGACTTTTCTTTTGCCTGCTGCAGAGCAACATGTGCCAGCAGCACAGCTCAAATCAGGCAGAGGTTTGGGGGCCTAGCATTTGGATGTTGTTTTGGGGTTTTTGAGGTGGTGGTGGGTTTTTTTTATTTTTAAGGTGAGCAAAAGCATGTTTCTAACCTCCATTGTTGCAGGAAAAAGCTACGAAAATGACCTCTGCTGGAACGTGGTGACATGTCAGTATTCAGCAGCTGGAAAGGGAGGGAGCAGCCCCTCACACCGCCTGGGTTAGTGCTAGGATGCCTGTGAGGTGCTGCTGCCGCTTGCTTACAGCTCGATGTGTGAGAGACCTGAAAAGGAAAGGACCGAGGTTGGCCACGGACCCAGCTACTTGCCCGGGAGTGAGTTCGCAGGAGACACTCCTGCTGCTGATAGTTTCTGCATCCGATTGGAGAGAGGACCCAAAGTGGTCGTGCCCCTACTGAAAGAACTGGTAGGCTCTTGAAGCTCTTACACGCACTTTGGCTGGCCGTGACTTCCACAGAGGAAAGGCTACCCTGTATCTTCTGCTCTTTCCAAAATTGTGTGGCGTGCAAGCCTTTGGCAGCCTGCTTTTAGAGGCAAGTGATGCCCAAGATGCTCCAAGCTGTGCATTTCCTAAGAAGCTGTTTGCTCTGACTGCTGTCTTTTCTAAGGTGAGAATTTAAAGCCTTGCTGGTAGAGTCCAGGCACTGATGCCCGTCAGTACTACTGTGCCCAGTCCAGAGGGGCAGCGTCTGCTGCCCTTGGATATTGTGTGCTGCTGTGAAATACAGCATAGGTCAGAATGTTTTATTTTGGTTATACTGTAGATTAATCTGTTTCAATGAAACCGGCCGTGTTTGAATGCAGCACTTTCTTCTGAATTAACATGGTAATGTCAAAATATACATGATTTGATTTTCAGGGAAAACAAGAAACATCAATTTTGCATAATGAATAGGAATTTTGATATTTCATATGTGATTTTTAGATGCAGTGGTAATCCTTCATATTCATGCCACAGAATAAAAATGCACAATATTGTTACAATAAAAGTTGCATCCAGAAAAGACAAGATTTGTTTTTTTAAAAACAAGGAACAACATCAATTGATTGTTCCACATAACCTGTATATCAGGCATTTCTGCATAGGTGTCTGCTGAGTGACAGTGACTTATATAAAGAAACATCTTTCTCTTTTTTTGGCAAAGTGAAAGGAGAATGCCTAGACAATGGTTAGGTAATTAAATAGTAGCAGTGAGAAGGCAGCATAATGAAAAGCAAGAATTGCCTCAAAGAGTGTGTAGCTGTTTGGCTTACTGTAAAGTCTTTGGTACAGATACCTGTTTTCTAAAGTGATCCTGTTTTCCACCGGTTATTTGCTACAACATACTGGGTAATTTTAGTAAATTTTTTTAAGAGAACATCTACAAAAATATTTCTATTCAGTTTTGTGTGATCAGCTTTAATTTTATATTTTGTTTTTAAAGTGTCATAAAGACAGGGGAAATTATTTTGAAGGGCAATGTCCTGTACTAAAGACTGAACAATGCAGATTTTAAATATGTATGTAATAAATTAGATATTGTTGTTACGGGGAGGGGTAGCAGTGCAGGAAGATTTACATCTAGGAATATTTTCCTATTGTGATGGCAAAAAAAGCAAAGGGATTGGTTACTCTCAAGTACAAGGAGTGTAGCGGTGGAGGCTTATGAAGTACTTGCAGTTTCATTGCAGTTAGGAACATAAGGGCAGCCACAGCAGATGAAACCGAAGGTCCAGCCCCTTCAGTATCTTCACCCCCACAGTGGCCAACAGCAAATGCTGCTCTGGTGAGACTGTAGTCTGAGAGGAGCGTGAGGAGCATCCCCACCCTCCCTCAGCCAGCATTGGCTCTGGGATTTCCTGGCCAGGATCGTTGATGGATCTCGTTTCCCTGAACGTATCCAATTGCTTTTCCAGCTTGTGTAAAGTTTTGGTGCCCACAACATCCTATTGCGATGAGTTCTATGGTTTAAGCACAGCCTGCGGGGAGAAGGTTTTTTGTTTGAACCAATCCCTGAATAATTCCATGTGGTGCTTTTTAGCTCTGCTGCTGCCTTCAGGCCCCAAGGGGCTGCAGAGAGGGCACAGCCCAAATTGGGGTAGCCTGTGGCTCCTGGCTTGTCGTAGCTCAGGGAGCAGCCCCATTTGTGCTGCTCCTGACATTTGTATAAGAAATAGCAAACTATCTGTGGCCCAGACATCTTCTCCAGGTCACCAAACCCCGGATACCACCCACCAGCTGTGTGGGTGCAGCCAGCTCGGTTGGTCTCGCAGGGTTGCTGCAGGCAGCACCTAGGGGACTGCAGTGACTTCTCTAGGTCTAGACTGTCCTCTGAGGTGGAGAGCGAAGCAAGAAAGAAGGGACATCTAAAGAGCCTCAGACTGAAAAATAAGAATTTTTAAAACATATTTTGAATTGGGTGTACTGAGTTTTTATAGTGTAGTTGATGGCTTTCCGTTATTAAC